AGTAATCAGTTGCGACGATGATCCACTTGCTTCCGGAGTGAGACAAAGGAAACAGTCCAAGGAGGTCCATCCCAACTTGGTCAAATGGCGTACGTGGTGGACCAATGGGTTGTAAGAGGCCTGCAGGCTTTACAGGTGGTGACTTGTGACGCTGACATTCGCGGCATCCTTTTACGTAGCGTTTGACACAAGCTGCGAGTTTTGGCCAGAAATATATCTGTCGAACCCGGTCGAGCGTCCGTGAGTATCCCAGATGGCCAGATGTTGGCTCATCGTGGCAGGCTAATAGGATGTCATCACGAAGGTCTTGAGGGACGACTAGAAGATAAGATCTGCTGCCAACACCGGTGTTTTTTTTTGTATAATATGCTGTGACGTAAACAAAATGACGGCAACGTACAGGAAAGTGGACGAGGAACAGACGCGGTGCTGCCTTCTAAACGATCGATGACGGGCCTTAACACGGGGTCCGCTTGTTGCTTACTGAGGAGGTCTGCCCCAGTGAGAGTCCCCAGGAAGGCGCTGTCGTCTTCTACAGCTGTATGATCGGATTCCAGAGGTGTTCATGATAGCATGTCGGCGTCTTCATGCTTTCTACCCGACTTGTATACAATCGCTGACATCGAACTCCTGAAGTTGCAGACTCCATCGTGCTAATCGCCCAGAGGGGTCTTGGAGGTTAGCCAACCAACATAAAGCGTGGTGATCAGTCACAACTTTGAATAAGCGCCCATAGAGATAAGGCCTGAACTTTGAGGTCGATTGGGGAAAAGTACTTTGCTCGCCTCAGCCTGTCAAGAGAATCATTCACTCAAGGCAACAGGTACACGTCTTTCTTTGAGACGTTATTCAGCTTCCTATAATCGACACAAAACGAAGTGTACCATCCTTCTTTTTTACAAATACCACTGGCGATGACCAAGGGCTGCTTAATGGCTGTATTACACTGTTTTGAAGCATTTCCTTCACTTGCTTTTGAATCGAGCGTAGTTTGGTTGGTGAAACGTGGTAAGGCTGTTGCCTTATAAGGTGCACGTCGCCGCAGGTGATAATACGGTGTTTGGTAATCGATATTTGACGGATTCTCGATGAGCATGCAAAACAAGCGTGCAATTCTATCAACAGGTTGTTAAGCCTTCGTTTGTTTTCATCAGGAAACGTTGGATTTATATCGACACCCTGGAGAGGTGCTTCGGCATTATCGGTTGCCTCGGAAGCACAACACTCAGTCACATTGGTTACTGGATAGGCATAGGCGATGACAGTACCAGGGAAAAGGTGTCCGCGCTCGTAGCTGAAGTTCGTAACAAGTACCTCGCAGTGGCCAGCCTGTAGGTCTACTAGGCTTCGTGCTACGCAGACACCTTGGGAAAAGAGTAGGGATCGATTGCTCTCCGCCACAATTTCATCGTGTGCTGATTTGTTACACGCCACTTGAACCATAACACTTGAGTGCGGTGGTATCGTCACAGCATCGTCAATTAGTTGCAGACATACTCGATCATGACTGGGATTATGCTCTGGTGTGGCGCTTTTTGTTGAGAACATGACGAGGCGTTGTCAAATGTCGATGATAGCACCGTGCTCCCTCAGGAAGTCCATGCCAATGATCAGGTCTCGAGAACACTGACGGAGAACGCTCAAGCTGACAACGAAGGTAGAACCACGAATCTGTATTCGTGCTGTGCAAACGCCGAGTGGACATGACGATGTGCCCACCAGCAGTACGAATTGGGCTGAGGTTCCAAGGCATCGTCACTTTCTTTAGGAAAGCAGCCTGTTTTTCACTTATTATAGAAAAATCCGCACCCGTGTCAACTAAAGCACTGACTTTGCGACCGTCGAGCAGCACAGGAATGTCTAATGAAATTTTTGCGGAGCCAGCTGGTGTCGTCGTCGGGGAATCGTCAGTTTGCGGAAGCGTCGGTAGGAGGCCTCGAGCTTGTCCAGTATGAGCGGCCTCGCCCCCGAAGGTCGCTGTCATTAGTTTTCCCGGCGTGGATTGGGCAACCGACCTTGCGCCACGCTCGAATAGGTGCGGCGATTAGGAGAAAATCGCCGCGGTGACGGGGAGCGTGACTGGTGCAAGAATGACGAAGTTCCGCGCTGTTGAGCCACATACTCTTCAATTTCAGGGGGCCGCTGACCGAACCTGTCTGGTGGCGAGTTCGTCGAAAATCCGCGTAGTCCAAGTTGTCGGTAAAGACACTGTTGGTACAGGTGCCCTGCTTCACCACAGTGGAAACAGAGAGGACGTCGATCTGGCGCACGCCAGACGTCTGATTTCCGCGAGATCAGGCGAGGTGCGCTGTAATATGGCGCCGCTTGGACCGTCTGCAGCATGGCTGGGGCCACGGTGGGATGCGGAATTGCAGGTGTAACAGGTTGCCGCAAAGCTTGAGCATACGACATGCGGGGGAAGTCACTGGATGGTTGATAATCCCGCATGCAAGGCGGTTCTCTTAAGGCATGCTGGACTTCCATCTCGGACAACGCTGGACAACGAGGAGGTAGTGGGCTGCGAGGGCACTGACAGCTTTTGGAGTTCTTTGCGGATAACTGAACGTATGAGCTCTCGGAAGAAATCCATTTGGCCACCGAAAGCTACTCAAGTAGTCTGTAGTTGAAGTGTTGACGTGCTCTTCGTATGACGGAGCCAGGTGCCTAAAAGTGCTTTCGATGGTGATGGCTTCCGTGAGAAATTCTGACACAGTTTTGGGTGGACTGCGTACAAGCCCACCGAAAAGCTGCTCTTTCACCCCGCGCATAAGGTATCGTACCTTCTTTCCTTCTGGCACGCCGGGGTCAGCTCGATGGAAAAGAGGCGCATCATTTCCTCGACATACATCGCAACCCCTTCGTTCGGCAGTTGTATGCAGGAATGCAGATCGCGCTCAGCTCTCTCCAGACAGTCAGGGCTGGCATATGTCCCAAAAGTCGGCGTTTGAAGTCTTCCCATGATGTAAGAATACCTGCCCGGTTCTCATACCAGACACGTGCGTCGTCTAAAAGACTGAAATAGACATGCCGCAGTTTGTCCGCATCATCCCACTGGTTCTGCACGGCAACAAACTCGTAATGAACAAGCCAATCTTCCACATCCTCAAGTGCAGTGCCATGAAAGGGATTTGGCATTCGCGGTGTGAGTAAGGTGCAATGAAGCGGCGTTGTGCCGTTCGTACCGGTTGGGTTGGTGTCAGTAGGGCTGGTCGGAGCTGCCATGTTGTTTGCGAGCAGTCCAAACTCAGGGGATTGCCCTCGGATTCTTCTGTTGGCGCGATGCACAGGGGTGACCACTGGTACGACGCTTGTGTTCCTGCTATGTGGAGGGGTACGGTGCATAGATTACCCAGCACCTCCACCAGTTTTTCACGCCCCAAGAGCCGTGGAGACAAGACTGGAACAGCGGGGCAGAAAGACACGAGCGTGTATCTTCAGACGAGACGCTAACCACACTTCTTCATTCTCTTTGCCCTTTTTGTCGCGCTAGGGCTTGTCGGCTCACAACTCTAGGTGGCAATATGTGCACTTTTGCTTTGTGAACATGATGCTGCAAGAATTTTGCAAATACGTGCTATATTAAGGAAGTAACAGGGGTCGCAACATAGCTCTCAGCTGGTTTTTGTTCTTCCAGGGAGGGGAAGGCATAGCCTGTCATCGTGACTGGTTTAGACCGATCGAAAGCTGCCCGCTACGTCAAGTCCCCGATTAGAGACATTTTGTCGCTGCGCTATTAAAGGAGCATTGGCGAGACATAGGAAAGAAGCGGGGGAATTGTTTTTCGAAATGGAGGCTCTGCGCAGCACTCTAATATTCAGAAAATATGATCACGGTTGTCTACCCTACGAATTGCGGAGCTTCTCTAGGGGGCGTAAGAAGAAGTTGGAACCTGTTGACTGGCCTTTTAAACTACCTTGACAAGTCTGAACTTGCATATGAAAGTGTTCAGCTGTTTGGGAACGATGCAGTGAATGCGTATCGACCATCCTGGTATGTTAGGCTAGCAGCATTAAACCTAATTCAAGGGCTAACGCTTGGCGTCCGAGATATACATCACAGTGTGGATCTCTGAGGGGCAGCATTCGCAGCGGTGAAACATATTCAGTCCTTCTTATTTGTGTCAAGAGTTGTGAAAGCTTTGCAGTGTTAAAATCACATTGCAAAAGAAAGACCGGAAAGTGGGGCACACTGCTCGCCGACTTCCACTAATCAGTGAAGGCTGAAGTGGAAAGTCTACAAGGTGGACACACCAAGAATCGCACCCCAGTGCACAGAGAGACAAAAACATGTGCGCCGACCAAAAAGAATGTGTAGAAAAGCAGAGAGCGAAAGAAACTGTCTATATGTCAACCGAACACTACGAACCGAACACTTCAAGCGCCCCTCCAAAGCTGCTCGCTGTGCATGGTGCTGGCGCCGAGCTCTAGAGCGAGTTAGGCTGTTGTTGCTGGCTGTGAGTACCCAGCGTATCCGACCTCGGTGTGCGCGACCTGACACCCTGAACATGCCAGGCTATATCTAAGATTTAAGTATCATGCTTCTTCAAAAGACAATGTACTTCATTTTTACTGATAAGAAATGACAGGCCCAGCAAGACGCTGCCAAAATCTAAGACATTACGACAACTAGTGCAGGAATTAATGGTGGCGTCACCACTCACATTTTCTTTTTGCATGCCTCTTTGCTTACCAAGCACCTCCTTTCACAGCAAGAGTGATATTCTTGATGTTTGTGAAAAAAAGAAACTGGTAAGGGAAAAATCATTTTTCTCATAAATGTCCATTTATACAACATATCAATTCTATTCAAGGCATACTTTGCTCGTCTTAAGTTTGGAGTTGAATTGATAGCTTCGACAGTACATGACATGTCATAAGTTGTCGTAAAGCCGGAGCTTAAGGCGTGCCTATACAGACCTCACTAAACTCCTGGCACTACAACATTGTAGTGAAACAGTATTCCTGAATGGGAGGGATTCCGGGAGTTGCAACAGCACTTGCCTTCTTCATGAACTGAACCTCTTCTTTGGCCTCCTTGTAGAGCTTCTCCATACGCTCCAGATTCCTGGCTCCCGTCTCCTTCGCATTGTTGAGCTCAAACGACAGAGTACGAACCTTTTCCTTCAGCTTCAAGACTTCCGCTTTCTTCAGCTGCTCATTCTAGAAAGTTGACAGGAAAAGAGGATAATTCTACTCATTTAACCATGACCATTAATTAAGCAGGTGCATACACTGTAAAATATAGAAAAACCTCAATTATAAGAATGTTATGATGTAAAAAAAAAGACTCGTATTATCCAAAAACTTTAAAAACCAATATGTGACAACTAAAACGTGCAGTACGTTTGCATTTATGTTTTACTAAAGGCAGAGCAACACCATAAACAGCTGTCATTGTAGATAAGGTTTATAGATGTCAATGGTCATACTTGCATTCATAAATATTAGACTTGTGCGAATATTGAATTTGAGGTTCGAAGCGAATAGTGATTCTGGTCGAATAATTGCGAATCGAATTCGAATAGTATATATGACATATAAAGAAGAATGGGCATATATATCATGACCAAACTAACCTGAACAACATTTTTATGTGAATAGGGCCTCTATGCCAATTCCATGTCTTTTTTTTGTTCATAGGAAGATGAAACAACTTTGAGTAGTAGCAGGATTCGACTTTCAGCAGGATGCTAGTCATAGCCCTTAAATACGTAACACATTAAAACTTATTGTACTTAGAGAATATAAGTTGTCATAACAAGCTTTTAAGCTAACAAAATGAATTAATGTAAGGGTAGTATTTTCATTTGAAGGGGCCGATCGACTTCCAAGTAGCAATGTAATGGATTCACTGAAGAAGCTTGTTGCCGCATAAATTCACCACGGCAAAAACTATCAGAATCCGTCCAGTATGCGCGGAGCTGCAAAGATTTCTCGCATAAAATTATACATTTGGTGTTGTACGTGCAAATCATTGTTAAGGCGCAACAGGTCAGATTGGCGCAAAATGGTGCACCACTTACACCCCTGCATTCGCGCACCCCTAACTTTCAAGTACCTACCGCACTCCTCGTACGGTAAAGTACTGCCTTGTGTAATGTAAAGTACTGCCTTGTGTAATCTACAAACTGTGCCACTGCTAGCAAATCCAGCAGCTTTTTATTTTGTGAGTGATCAATGCATCCCAACCTAGTTGAAATTCCAAGATACTGCAATTGATTTGGGGAGCATGCAATAATTTATATTGTACGGGCAAATTCAAATCATTATCTACATGCCAAGATGGGCATCTCTGAATTAGTGTAGGCATTGGGCATATACAGCTGGCATGTTAGAATTGCTGAATTCCTGGGTATAGTAAAAGCACAGCCCATTTTCCAGGAAAGCTGAAGAATCGCATTTCAGCAGTGGCTACACAGCTCTGCCAGAAAGGAGCTTAGGAGGAATGCTTACTTTTTGAGCTTCTTCCAGTTGTGACTGAAAAGATTCTTGCAATGAGGAAATAGTCTGCGCAGAGAGGAGAGAAAAGTACTGCTTTAGAATGTTCCAGTTGCCTCAGCAACCGCAATAGTGAAATCAACACCTAATTGGCATTATTGAAAATCTTAATATCCTACCTTCTGGTGCTTGTCCGCTTCAGCACTTTTAGCGGCCACCTACACAGAAGCCATTCAAATCACATTTCTACCGACTCTAAAGTTACTATCCCGTGGTGATCAGAATGAGTGCTAAGGAAAGCCATAACTGCCATTACCATATTCTTGAATGAAAAGGTGGTCCCCAACTGGTATTTCTCGTTTGCAAGTTATTAGAACTCCAAGCTCGATATACTTTGAGCTTACCCTCTGTTTGATTTGGTAAACTTGTTTACATAAATGCACTGGCTGTATAGTAGTCACTTCACTTACATTTCCACATACATATTAGTGAAGAAATAAACAAAATCAGACGATAAAACTATTTTTGTAAAGGTACAGTGTTTTTTTCCAACAGCTCTAAGGTTTCACTAATTCATGCTAGCCAGCTTAGAGGTTTCAAAGTTTCATGCTAGTCAGACCGTTTCATCTTTCATTATCCTCTCTTCTCTTGCTGTATTACATGAGACATTTCGATGAACCAACTAAATATCTTATTCTGCTGACATATGCTTTTCTTATCTCTTCTCAATGAATAAAGTGCAAAGAAAGAAAAGAACAAATGTATAAAACATGACAGAGTAAAACGCACATTGATACCTTTCGGTACATGAACTCATGTTTCAGTCCAAACCAGACATTGTGATCCAGACTTTCACAAAGGCTGGTGCACCAGCCCAAATGTCAGTGAATATACTGCGAAAAGTAGATGTTTGTCCTACCCTCATGTTTCTTACTCTACCGGGGCCAGCGCAATTTCTTTGCTGCAGTGATGATAGGCCAAGGTGGCACTTATTTTGCCACTAATTAGATAACTTAGAAATCAATAATAAGAAATCTTACTAAACATTTTTATTGACAATTTATAGTGCAGTTCTTTATATGACCAAGATGTTCTACATTGTAATTTATGCCGAGCCTAGTTTTTAAAAATAAAAAAAATATTGCACAAACTTTCAGAGATCTATTGTCGATTTTCTGGACTGCCATGTCGAAGAAACCACACCGGGTGCGCCGGAAGGCTAGTGCATGTGCTACATCACGCCTAATTTCACTTTGTGTAATCGCAGCGGTACTAATTCGCGCTATTCTGACATGCGCTCGCATTCTTGCACTTTACTAATCGTGCTACCGCCATCCCCTTGAGGAGGAGATACCACAGCTGGCATCGCCCCAGGGAATCAGACACTGGTCATTGTAGTATGAGAAGCTTTCTCCTTAATGTTTGAGTCTTGCACCTTCCAGAAGTTAAAATTACAAAGAGTCACAGAACCTTTGCCCATCATGGGCAAAAGACAATGCCGACATTGGTCGGCATGTTCTGCTAGTATGTAACTTGCGCAAGGCATGATAATTCGAATTACTTAAAGGAAAGTTCTGATGTCCTTCCATGAACCATTATTCCAGTGCCTTCAGTTTCGGTTCCTCCAGCAACGTGATCTGGAAATTCGATGATTGATTGATTGATTGATTGATTGATTGATTGATATGTGGGGTTCAACGTCCCAAAACCACCATATGATTATGAGAGACGCCGTAGTGAAGGGCTCCGAAAATTTCGGCCACCTGGGGTTGATCTGGAAATTTGACGCTGGATCTTTGAAGCTACGTGTAATAATCAACCTTTAAATAATAGGCTCACCATAAATTATGACATAGAACAACTTGGCCATGTAAACAACAACCCTAAAATTGAGAATAAGATGTTAATTAAAATTTTTGTTGATTCTTTCTGAGTGATCTAACTAGTGGCAAAGTCTTTCCTCTTCTGCCTGGAAATTGACTGTAAAAATAACAAGTGCCTAACTCTTTGATGAAAATCTGTATTGTTTAAAAATAATTGTATACATATACGCTTTGCTCAGAACACATGAAAGACACGTTGGATCGCTTAATCTCATACTCAACATGTGGAAGCATCACAAGCAAAGTTTAAAATGCTCAAGACCACACCTGGTTCATCAGCTCCCGCACCTTTGCTTGCAAGGCCAGACAGGCATTTTTCTCCTTTGCTATTATGCTTTCATTTTCCTGAGAAAGATCAAACAACTGTAATAAACTCATCAAAGTATTGGCACGAATCACTGAAGCTCACTGCCACAATACCCAAATGACAGAGCACTTGAAATAAATCGGAGATCTAGTGGGTAAATATCCATTTCAATAGAAAGTAAAGCATGCCCACGTGGACACATGATAATACTATTTCATTTTATTATCTTGCATGCACACCATCTTTATAGATGAATTAATACATCAACAAACAAAATACATTGTAAGTAAAATGGAAGTTACATTCAATATATACACAGCTGAACTCTCTATACAGTGAATCTAGTCCATCATGACTAAGTGATAAACAGGCAGTATCGCAACTATCTCAACTACACATAACAAAGTATGTCTAAAGCTAACAAAATAGATGTAGTACACATGCCATGAAGTGTAAAAGTAACTTTTTTGTTGAAGTTCTGTCAAACCCTATCAGGTTTCCCGATTTCTCACGAAGTTCATGCATGCTTGTACATATCTGTCTGCCAATGACATTACGAAAGACTAGCAGGTTGAAAAAAAAAATAATTGTAAGAATATACTGTCGTATGATATAAATTATATTAAATAATATAGAGTGAATGTTGTGGTACGAATACAAGGTCTTGACTTTGCTTTTGTGTCTATCAATTTCTTGGGGGTCCCAGGAACTTCCGTGAGCCAATAGTTGAACCCCTTCGCAAAAGACTGACACAGAGGTTTGACCGTATAATTGATCTGATTTTTTTAAGGACTTACTGATGGCTCCCGTAGCTATTAATTTGTTAGGAATGCTTGCTCATTTTCAACATAGATGACAATTTATCACCCTGTTTAAACAAAATGCAGAGTGAATAGTACACTGGGTTGATCCTCTAAAAAGTTATAAATTGAATGCTTTCAAAGCAAGGATCATTTTTATGCCAGCACTTCACTTTTACAGCCTATTAATAGGCTTGCTAGTGAATTAGTTTTTTTTTTTTTTTTTCGATTCCGCTGTTCCTCGTTTTCTCTTTCACAAAGTCTTACCACTTGCATTGCACTAGCATAAAAGCTACGCTGCCTCCATGATTGCCTACTGCAAGGCCTTGATAGATAGATTGATATGTGGAATTTAACGTCCCAAAACCACCACATGATTATGAGAGAGGCCATAGTGAAGGGCTCTGGAAATTTCGACCACGTGCGCCGAAATATGAGCACACGAGCCTACAGCATTTTCGCCTCCATTCAAAATGCAGCCGTTGTAGCCGGGATTCGATCCCGCGACCTGCGGGTCAGCAGCCGGGTACCTTAGCCACTAGACCACTGCGGTGGGGTGAACCTACTGCAAGGTCTTGTGAGCTTGTAATCTCACAGTGCAAGGGACGTGATCACAATGAGTCAACACTGCCTCTGAAAACACTGCACCCTGCATGGTGCAAAATCGCTGTGACATTCACTGAAATACTCACTTTTTATTTATGTGCACCATGTGCAATTGAAATAAGCCATCAGAGCCGCTGTTAATGCACCACAATAGGCTTGTGCAAATATGCGAGCACATCGAATAATAAACTAATTATAATGTATTCAAATTGGTTTCAAATATAAATGAATAAAGATTCTGAACTATTCGAAATGAAGGAATAGTGAATAATACTCAGCATGTAAACCCCTCCGTAAAGATGATTTCACTGCAGTGAGAGAATGCTGTACCGTGAATACATCTTTCCAAAAAAAATCTGTGCTGCCGGGAAACCCTACTTCAAAGTTAAATGAACATTTGCCCCCATCGATTCTTCCTTCTTAAGTTTAAAAGCTTGTTCCGATAGCTAATATGCTCTAAGCATAGCAAGCTTTAAAACGTAAGATATTGTACAGGTTATCACTAGCATTCTACCGAAGAGCAATCCTGCTACTGTTCAAATTTATTTCCACATTCTTTAAACAAAAAGAATGACATTTATACATGTCTTCTTTCAATTTTCAAACAAAAAGATTTATACAGGTTCGTTGGGTCTAGAAATATGCTCATTTTTCTCTAAAATATGGAATATACAGTATTGGAATTATTTTGAAGTTATTCAAACCAAATTACTATTTGCTTCTGAACTTTCAATTCATTATCTACACAAGCCTACATCACAAATTGCTGTCCCCACAGCGTTGACAAATGTCAGACTGTACCCACAAATTGCTAGACTAGCATCTCGATCATGATTCTCAAAGTGTTTTTTTTTTTTGCCAGGTAGAAGTTTTAATAACATATTCAATGCATTCCAAGGCACCACATTTTCTTTACGGGGTTCTCGACACCAGTGTTCTCATTTAGAGAAACAATATGCAAATTTTTCAACTTCTTCAAGTTACTCCTTTAAGGGCATAGTGAAAAAAATATTTGCCTCCAATATTTCCGCAAAATTGAAAGATTGGGTCATCAAATTGAGACAATTTTCATTCCAGGCAGATAATATGGGAAAACAATTATTTTAATGCGTTTTTCACAAACTTCCACTGCCACATCTAGCATTGGTGCCGTGAACTCGAGACGGTGACATTTTGCGATGTCCCACACACACGCAAGACGGGCAAGTCAACAATGCAAGCCGTCCCTCACGTCTCTCGACTCGCTCAGCACCCCTGCAGTTCCCAAAACGAGTACGAACAGCAACGGCCATGAACAATGATTCTGGATGGGGCAAAGCTCCAGCACTCTTGTGGAAGAGAAAGAGAAGAGAGGTGGAGAAAAGGAAGAGGAGGACACGTGCATCCTGCATGTGCCTCGGCGAATGCGATGTTACACAACCCACGCTCGTGAGTAGATGCTGGCAGCTGACAATCCATCAAAAATAAAACCAACTGTTCAAAAATGCACAAATTAACTCTGTTAATCAGAACAGTGGCATCTCCAGAGTTGAATTTGAAAGTTTCATCAGTTTTTCCCATTTTTGTTCAGTATCTCTTTAAAAGCAAAAAGTGTAGGTTTTATAGAATTTTAAATCAGATCTGCTCCAATTTCTTACTTCAAGAACAACTTCATTCTGTGAACGGCTCCAAAGGCGAAAATTCATTAAATTAAAATTAACACTGCTATAGTGCTCTTTTTCTGTAGAATGATCAGAGAGCTGGTTTACGAAATAAAAAAAATTAATAAATGCATTTACTACCCCAGAATTAACAGCCCAACTTCAGTCTAAGGACACTCGCTTTGATACACACCTCATGTTTACAATGTAGAAAAAAAGCATGTCAAAAATGAGAAAGAAAAAGAAAAGCCACATCATTCACTGGCCTTCTGGCTCTCCTCAAGAGCCTGTTTCTCAAAGCCAAGTCGGCGTAATGACATATTAAATCGATTCACCTCCAGCAGCATACGACACACACGCTCAAATGATGCACCATTTAGAACAGTGCTGTGTAATTGCAATGTTGAGCCAGATATGAGAGGAATAATATTCACAATATCACTGTCCCACTAATTATGTGTTTTTTTTTCTAACTACATCCAAATGATCTGTACTGAAACCTCAATCTAATGCAAATGGATATAACGAATTATCGGTTATAATGAATAAGTAAAGAATAGTTTTAATTTAGATAGTGTTAAGAACATATGTTTACAATTAATTTTCATATATAATGAGGTATTTTCGTGGAGGATCTGACTTTGTTATACAGTCGAGCAAAGATATATCGAACTCGAAGGGGATCATAAAATATTTCGATACATTAATAATTCAAAATATAAAATACGTGTATTTAAGACTTGAACATTTCAGGTCTCGGAAATTGTTACAAGGCCTAACATAATGATTCGCTCATAGTACAGTGAAGAACAAGGTGTGAGCTGCAAGCCATTGTGCTTTACATCGCATGAAAACAGTTCGTAAACTTGTCTTGCTTTTTGCGCTGCCAAGTTCCAGTCATCATCAATATCATTGAGGGTTTTCAAATAAGTGAATTCAGCTCCTTAGGCCACAACAGTGTTGATTGACGCAGAACGCGGATGCAAAATTTGTCGCCCGGTAAAAAGATGGTAAGCGGTGGCAGTGAAGACACTGGCATATTCATAACCACACTGGTACCCTTCCACGGTAACAACAACGGCAGCTGTGATTTCAGCATCGATGAAGTCACACACAGCTCCATCATGTGCACCGATGAAGTTGCTCACTGTCCAAAATGGTGCCCGGACGCTGGTAAGTCACAGAACGCACTGAGGCACCGTGTCGTGAACGGTCATGACGCGCCAGAAGTCATCACCTGGCCCGCAAGTAAAGTTTATGACAGTGCTCTACGTGACATCGCTCCAAGCGCAAATCATAATTTTTATCGCTAAATGCAGGTCAAAGTTCTGTTAAACTCTTGAATGAAGATTTATCAGGAATAAGAAAAAAAGTACACAAATCCACAAGGCACAAAAGATAATGCCGTGTTCCCACCGTCAACATGTTAGCGATATCTATGTCATTTGTGGCTTTGTAGCTGGCAGCCGCTGATTTCAGCTGCTTTGATGCGAAAAGTTAGAAAAATCATAGCCTCTGAGAGATGCATTTTCAAACCGAAAACACTGAAAATACATCATGAGGCTGTACATCTCGAAGGCCATGCTTCTCAGGCTCACGTGCCATTGTGCGCCAACAAACAAGGAAGGGAATGCGAACATTTTAACGAAATTGCAGGGTCACTTCGCATTCTCATTTTGGTGGCCTCAGTAAATGGTGATCTTGAAAAAACTACACCCACACGTTAACACCTGCAGATCGCGCGTCAAACATACCTGTGCACTTGCAAGTGCCGCGCAGCAAACCAGATCAGCGCGTTAGAATAACATTGCCTTTTTGTTGCCTGCACGTGAAAAGACATCGAGACTTGTTAGAATGCAGCCGAAAATTGATGAATATTCACTAGGAAAAATGCACTTTCTGGGTTTTGGCGCTGTGCAGTGTTCGATATAGCTGATGTCCTGCTGTGCGGGAGTTCGATATATGGTTGCACATGTCCTATACTTTAGCGTGAGATATTCAAGAGGATTTCTCAACTGTTCAATATAGCCAACAATTCGATAAATCAAAGCTTGATATATTCAGTATCGACTGTACAAGATTTGAGTGTATTTTACTGCATTAAGTTAGGGACAGTTGTTATGTAATTCAACATAATTAACAGAAATAATAAGTAAAGAGAGATGAGAGGCAATCAGACGAAATATTGCATATCATTTTTTTTTTATTACAGATAAAATGTCCCAGCTTTGCACTGTAATTAAAACGACTGTAACAGCTTTGCACATGAGGTGTTTCCCCAATAGTATTGAAGGTGCCGGTTAGACCCTCGGCCACAGACGCAGTATAGGGAAAAAACACGCATTGCCGCATACTTAAATATAGGTCATGGTGTAAGATACAAACACTTTAGGTGAGGACACTTGGTCTTTTCCCGACGTCATCTGCGGGTAACCAGTGGGTGACCATAGGGACTCATTATATGACACGTTATGCCATTATGCGAGCCCCTCCTACCACCTGTGCAACGGATGTCGCTGACTTTCTTCTCCATCAAGTCATCTTACACCATAGTGCCCCGGGTCAGCTACTGACTGATCGAGGTTGATGTTTCCTTTCAAAAGTTGTCGATGACCTTCTCCGCTCTTGTACAATGTATCACAAGTTCATTACCGCTTACCATTCGCAAAGAAACGGACTTACTGAGCACTTAAACTGTACACTCATAGACATATTACCCATGTACGTGTCTGAGGACCACCTGAAATGGGACTGCACGTTACCATTCGTTACATTTGGCTACAATTCGCCGCGTCACGACATTACTAGTTATTATCTGTTTTATCTGTTGTATGACCGTGACCTGCTCTTGCCTCTCAGCTCACTACTTCCTTTCCGAGGCAAACTCAACCCCATACTACGCTCACGACGCCATTGTTCGCACAGCTACGGCACGTCGCGTTGCCCGTGATTGACTCCTGGCATCTCAGGCCAACCAAAAACACCATTATGACAGTCACCACCACAACGCGAGTTTCAACCCTGGCTCCCTGGTTTTGCTCTGGCTGCCTTCGCGTTGTGTTAGCTTGAGTAAAAAACTCCTGCCACGCTATATCGGACCTTACCGAGTTCTTTGCCGAGTTACCGAAGTCATATACGAGATCTTGCCGCTAACCCCCAAGCCTTCATCCACCTTACCAGCTACTCTCGACTCGAGCCCAACGTCCCGTTCACCGATCCGATGCACCGAGACTGTGCTTTTGCCGCCGGGAGTTAATTTTACGTAGATGCTGGTGCCAATGTCGACTGGAGGATGCTTCTAGCCATAGAAAAGGTTGAAGTGTCTCAGGCTCAGAACTGATTGTGTCGCACTTACCTTAGGGCATCTGCAACTTCAATTGCAACTCTACGCATATCGATACGTTTACGTGTTTTTGTGTGTGCGATAGTGGCCTGAATCCGTCTTTATTGTCTGCGATTGTACAGTGCGATAACGTCAGGATGGGATCAGGCATGAATTGGACGCAAGAGAAGTGCACATGGCGTTGACGCGACGGCAACGATGTCACACTACGTGTTCAAGAGCATTTGGGGCAATGAAGAAGTAAGGGCAGCTGCAGGGATATGCCATAGAAGATGTGCAATAACAAGCTTGGCGTGCATTGTGGTGTTCGCTTGCTTCGGCTGCCTCTCAGCTTGGCTGCTGGTAGGTACGAACTCCATCAATACAATGTTAAGTGCATATTGCATGTGTCATTGAAGCCTTAACCTAATGTTTCTGGCATTGTGCTGTTTGCCGCAAAGATCTTTTTTGTGCTCTTCACTTCGCGTACTGTTTTCGTGGATTGCTTCACACGAAAGAAAACTGTCAGGAATGCTTCACAGCGCGTTTGCAAGAAAATACTTTCTTGGCTCAAGAAATTGAGTTGCCGCTTGCATTGCTAGGTTTTCGTTGAGCCGCTACATATATTAGAATTCACTGCATAAGTGAAATTTTGTGAAAAGTGCAGCTATGCTCAATACTGTTGTCTGTGATGTTTGCAAATTGCTTGAAGCCCTGATAAGTGCAATAAGAGAGAAGTGATGAATCTAGAAAAATCTTTGCTAGCTAAACCTAGGATGTAACTGAGTAAACACTCCTGCCTCGTCAACGGCTTGCATGACACCTAAAGTTGCTTTGTTTTTGCTGCATCAAATACTTGTGGCTGTTTTTCGCGAAAAAGCGATGTAATGTGTGCAGGAGAAAATTAGTGCGAAGGTGGGAAGGAAAACGTAGCCAACATTTTTCTTTTCTTTTTTCAGTTCATGCCGGAGTCAAGTGGTGAGGCAACTACAGCCGTGCCGCGGTGTGCACTGTATGTGTAGTTGTGTGCGTTAATTGCAGTTTTATTCTGCTGCAATTCTTGTTATATTGATGGCTATATCTTTATTTCTTGAGTGTAATTTACAATCATGATATGGAAGCTCTATTTTCCGGTCTCGCAGTGCAATGAACCTCTTTTTGTGCCTCCGTTAATCAAACATTAACAAAATTAGCATGTGCTTACCAAGTATATCACTTAAAAATAAAAGTTTCTGCTCCTCCAATGATACTCATGTATTAATTAAATTGTGTGCATAGACACACATTGACATCGTGTGCTTGCCACTCTAGCGGTGCTCCTTACACAAAGCTCATCGATGCATGCAAACGATGCGCTAAATAAAGATTAAAGTATGTCTTCAGAGATGAGCTCGCATGTAGAAGCGGTCTCGGAGGCTGTATAATAATCCTAGTCACAACAAAATGGCCTTCAAGACAGTCTTTTCTGTGGTCTGCCATCTCTGGGGTTGCAAAGTTTCACCACACCCGTTTGGTGCGCTGCGAACCCAAATCAGCGGCAGGGGCCTACGGAAGTGTCCTCTCTTGGCCTTTTACATTACTCCATGTCGATATCGCCAACATGTCGACAGTGAGAACTCCGACCAACTCGGCATCGTGTCTTTTGCACCTTGTGGCCTTCTTGCCTCGTTTCTGATAAATCCTGATTTGGGAGTTGAACTTAATGTTGACCCCCATGTAGCGATAAAGATTATGACTGGCGCTTGGAGCGACGTCAAGTAAAACACCGTTGTAAACGTTCCTTGCGGGCCAGGTGACGACTTCAGGTGCATCATGACTGCTGACAATGGCGTACGATGCCTCAGTGAATTCTGTGACTTATCAGCATTTCCAGGCACCATCTGAGACATTAGCGTCTTCATCGGTACAGATGACAACGTTTCTGACTGCATCAATGCTGAAACTTTGGCTGCCGTTGCCGGAAGCCGCGGAAGTGTAGCCGTGCTTTAATGAATGTGCCAGCACCTTCACTTTCGCTACTAACCAAGCTTCTGCCAGCGCTGCAAAGCTTGCATTTGCATTCTGCAGTCAATGATTACTATGGCCGAAGGAGCTAAGTTCGCTTCTTTAAAAAGTGTCAATGATATTAAGGATGACTGGAACTTGACGGCATGCAAGAAGCAAGGCAAGTTTATGGACTAAATAAAGTGGGTACCCTGCAGTTCACACCTTGTTTTTGAAGTGCTTATGTTAGCTCTTGTAACAATTAATGAGGCCTGAAATTTTTTAATCTAAGCCTTAATATGCATATTTTATATTTCAAATTCTTGATATGTCGAACTATTTCGCGATCCCCCTTTGAGTTGGATATATCCGGGATCGACTGTATACCTTTATAACGAATTTTTGAATATAACAAACTTATTTTCTTGTGAGATACAACTTTACCGTAATTAAGTATGAGTGTATACAATATTTAGGAAGTGACTACAATAGTTAATATCATCAGACCTCGGCTGAATTTCAAACTTCTACACCCAAGCAGTTACAAAAAAAATTCCTTCAAGAAACTCGCAGCATAAACAGCAAGAAAGCTGCGACAACTGAGGTTGTTCTGCGGTGGCTTACCTTTGCGAAAACCTCATCGTCACTTGTATCAGTTTGAACTTCAGTGTCCATCTACAAAGAAGGAATTCCCAAATGTGAAGTACATGCACCCCTTCACAGACAAAGCAAATAACCAAGATGTAAAAAAAGAAAAATAGGAAATAGCTGTCAAGGTAGTGTGTACACGTTCATAGATGCTTTGCCTCATGTTTGTGACACCGCTTCAGCTATTTCGTGAGACCTGTGGCCACATTATACAATGAAGTGTTTATTCATATGAAATGTAACACAGAGTACTCATTCAAGGGACAATGCACGCCATCAACGAAGACTGCCCCCAAAATATTACTTTTTATTTCATATTTTTGTTACCTTTAGTCATCCCTCACATTACAATCGAACACCAAAATACTAACTCTTTCCTTCTTAGATACAGTAAAATGCAACTCTTCAGATTACAATTGTGGTCTCCTTACGATAGAGTAAATATGATAATTAGAAAAATTAATGATAAAATTTGTAAATCAATACTGCAGAAACCTCGAATAAACGTTACAATGTGCACTATGCACTTGAAAACAAAACAATCGCCAAGCCCACATGGAACATGCAGCGCATTCAAAGCGTAAGCTAAAAGAGCGGGCTTTCTTAAGCGTGTTGCACACTCTTAGAAGCAACTAATACAAGTGCACATGCGAAGTACCGACTACACCATGAATCATGGTAATTTTTACGAAGCAGAGAAGCACTCACTATGCTCTCATTTGTCATTCTGTGGAGAACCGTGATACCCACTGGGTCCGTAAGAGATCATGTGCACATGGAGCTATTGCTGATGATGACGAAAAGTTATGACTGAGCCCTCTGTACGGGTTGAAAGCTGTTAACGACTGAATTCTTGCACAATTCACAATGTATGATGCCTGGTTGTCATTTTCATACTCTTCTACCACGTCACATGACATATGTTAACACGATACCTTGTCCCACATGATGCCTGTATAGGGTTATATAGCAAAGGAGTTCCAGGCATTAGCGTGGCTTTGTGGTGGAATACTCGACTGGCGTGCAGGGGGCCCAAGATCGAATCCCATCCGATCCTAAAACTTTTTTTTTATTTAATGCGACAGTGGTTACGGACTGGTGTGGCGGCAGATCTATGGCACCAAAACGGCTCTTGTAATCTCATAACAGCTTTCGCTGTAAAACAAAATACTTAGAAATCTTCAAGGAGTACTAGTCCGTTAATCACTGGGTGGACAGATATTAATGACGAAACGTAAACCACATAAAACAGATAGAACAGTAGGGAACAAAACTTGACAATTTGTTACGTGCTAACAAAGTAAGATCTACTTGATCCGGCTTCCTTCAACTTTACCTATTAACTAGGTATTCAACATACTGGTGCAGTATACATGCCATGCTACCTCTGACAAAAGAAATGTGCTATTTTAAGCAGAACGATTTTTGTACGAAAATTTGAAACGTTCTTCCCAATTCAACAGTAACATCATTCCTTTCGAGCACACAATTAACATGACTTCCGATACAATCCTTCCGATAAAACTGACCTTTGAGAACGGGCTTGATTCTGCTGCTACATCGAAGTCGTCAGCCTGCAGGTCAGCATCAAACAATGAGAGATATGAAAGCATTAGAAAAAGTATGAAAATACAAAAAAGAAACAAAAATATTCACTTCAGATTAAAGCATGCAACCTCATTACTTTATTCATGATAGATTCAGTTTTCATTCTGCAATTATCCTGCAAAAAAAAAAGAAGGCTTCCAAAGGATATTCAAAGGAGAATAAATATCAAGCTATGTGCAGAGAAAGACTAAAACCATCACCATGATTCCATCTTCTGTCTGCACAAAGGAGTCCACCTATGAGGAAGAAAGCTTTTTCAATACTTACGTAGTGAATGTCTTATAAGAATAATGTTAAGTGACAACTGAAGAAAAGCTTCAAAGTCAACAAAAACATCACCTTTTCAGACTCCTCTGTCTGTGCGTCATGATCAACCTGGAACAACAAAATTCAAAAAAGCAAGATTTAATGGTCTTTGCTGGAAGTAAAATTTGGTATCATATTTATTAGAGCTGTGAGAAAAACAAAATTTCGGGTGAAAAGCGAATATTGAAGTGCGAGTGTGAACTGCATCAAATATTTTTCAGATACGACAAATCTATACTGTGCAAAAAAGTAAAAAGATGATTCCTAAGCATATTTTTATGAGGCAGTACCATTAAAGTGTTTCTTTCGGCTAGGTTGATGAAGCACTGGCAAGGTGGTGTTTCGTGGTTGTCTTATGAAAAACGAAACAATACACAGGCCGAATGGTATTCCTTTACACGATTTAATGCAATCCAAGGTGTTGTCGACAACACTTTACACATAAAAATCAAAAATGCTATTTTCTCAGCCTCTCCTACTCTTTCAACTTCTGTGGAAACCCAAATTATATAATAATAATAATAATAATAATAATAATAATAATAATAATAATAATAATAATAATAATAATAATAATAATAATAATAATAATAAATGGGGGTTTAACCTCCCAAAACCAGAATATGATTATGAGAGACGTCACAGTGAAGGACTCCAGAACTTTGACCCCTGGGGTTTTTTAACACGCACTTCAATCTAAACACACAGGCCTCAAGCATTTTCGCCACCATCAAAAATGCCGCCCCCGTGGCTGGGATTCGATCCTGCGACCAGCGGGTCAGCAGCTGAGTGCCTTAGCCACTAGATAAATCACCGTGGTAGGTGAAAGCCCAACTGATGTGGTGAAGATGGGTGTGCTTCCTTCTAGTTCAATGTTCAAAATCTGCCTCTTAGAACCTCGATATATAAGCAGAATATCTGGAATGCTAGATGCTAAAAAGCTTAGACCAATTTACCAATCACTCTGCTCAAACTTTAAATCCAAAAAAAGGATTAACTGAGTCCCCACCTTTGTCGCATCTATCGTCTCCATGTTCTAACGAGCGTTTTCTTCACTCAATAGATTTGCACCCATAACAGAGCTTAAAAAGCAGCTTTTCCGAAATACACAATTGTAATGATGTGGAGCCTATTAAAAATCTGAAGAAGTTACCTTTCATTTCTGGGAAGTTTGACGTTCTAATAATAAAACTTCCAGCGCAAATTTAGAATATTCCCACACCACTAATATTTATACTTCTTCAGTCCTGTAATTTGACTTGACTGCCAAAAAAATGGCTTGTTCTCGTGTCTCTTCAAGCCTCACAGTGAAGATCAAATATACTGAAAGTGCACTGCATGAAAGGCCATACTAATGTTTAAGCACACGTCTTTTTGATAGCAAGAGTGCATTGGATCAAGGACAATAACAGTTACAAACCCTGTAAGGGCTGCAAGAAAGAAGGAGGCACAGCGAAGTCTCTTTTTGTTTCATTATTCAAGGAATTTCTACAGAGATTCGAAAAAGAGATACAGACAAGATAACACAACAAAATCAATTTCAATGGGTGTTCGTGAGCATGCTGGAAAACTTTCTCAGTACATACAACATGTTCAAAAGAAATGGCTGCAATGCAGAGAAGGACAGGGTAATGTCCCAGGCATGTTCCTTGTGTGGTGACGGTTTCGACAGCTAAACATTTCTCTCTGAAGTACATTTAAAATCGACCACAGTCAAACCTCATTAATTCGAACACGCTTAATTCGAACTTCCGGTTAATGCAAACTGAAGATGAGGTCCCGTCAAAGCTATGTGTATCCCAATGGGCAAAAGCAACCGGTAATTTGAACGCGCAAGCACTTGCGGCAGTTAATTCGAACATACTGCACTTTGTAAATGCTTTCAGCACCCCGCTAAATCTTGCGGCGGCACCTGAGACACCTCAATGCTGCGCGCGAAGGAAATGAAAAGAAAAGAAAAGGCTGCGGTGGAATGTTTACTCTCTCTCAAATGCCGATCTGCGACATGCCCAGTGTCGCAATTCTCCCTTTTTCGTCCCAGCCACGTAAAGACCCTTCTCCTTCCAACGCCGTGCGTGCAGAGAGAGAGGAAAAAAAGAAAACAAAGCTGTCGCTGGGTTGAATGAATGCGTGGTTGAAGGAAAAGAAAAAGGCACCATCTTCTGCAGCCCTTGCCCCTTGCGGGAGCACGGCTCTGCGCCTTAGGGGGAAGGAGGGGGGGTCTCGCACGCCGGTGCTGCATTTCTTCCTTTCCTGTCCCTGCCACGTAACCTTTTTTTCAACGATGCGCGCAAGGAGACCAAGAAAAAAAAAAACTGCCCTAGAGTGTTGGTTTCTTTCAAATGCTGATCTGCTTCTCTCTGCGAGGAGACGCTCCTCCTTTCTTGTCACGTGCTGGCCATGCTGCTGCTACATAGCCCGCAACGCAGTCATCTTTAGAAAGTCCGCGCTGGACATTTCCGCGCACAACTTCTATTGCCAGGAGAATGCTGAAGCCGAAGTAAAAATGCTTTGCAAGCTGCGTGTGAAATTGACTGACTTGCTGCAAGGCGAATGTGTGCAGACGCGCATCACCTATTACTTCAATTGTTAAGACGTTTATTTGCGGACACTCGTCGATGATCCACGACAGTGACAGTCAATGCAGGGACCGACTCTCTGCACGAGCTGCTCTTCTTATGAAAAGGGCGACCCACTAGAAGGCACTGGAGAGGACTACCGACTTCTCGAAGGCTTTGCCACAACTACCTCAGGTACGAAAAGGCAGCCGCCTGGGGACCTAACAGGTGGTTACAATGAGCGGGTCATGGTAGGCGTTGAGGCGCTCCACGTTAACAATGTTGCATCCTCGACGGCGCATGTCCGAAGATAGTTCGATTGGTTCAATCAAGTAGTTGACAGGGGAAGTGCATTTGACGGACACGGTAGGGGCCTTCGTATTTGGGCAATAGTTTTGAAGATAGGCCAGTTGCAGTGGTAGGGATCGAGAGCCAGACGAGTGCTCCAGGGAGGAACGTGGGTGCAGTATTGCTGGCGTCAGCGCGAATGCTTTTTTGCCGCTTTTGATCGTGCGCAGTAAAGGTCTTTGCAAGCTCTCGACACTCTTCAGCAAGCTTGGCTGTAGCAGAAATAGGCGCCCACTCGGACGGATCTGGCTTGTACGTAAGTATAGTGTCGATGGTGTGCGACGGGTGCCTTCCATATAATAAAAAGAAAGGTGAAAAGCCAGTAGTGCTTTGAAGGGCGGTGTTATATGCGTAGGTGACGAAGGGTAGAATGTCATCCCAATTTGCGTGATCGGCGGCGACGTACTTGGAGAGCATGTCGCGGAGCGTACGGTTGAAGCGTTCCGTGAGGCCATTCGTCTGCGGGGGGTAAGCAGCAGTTTTGCGGTGAACAACGTTGCACTCTTTGAGAATGGCTTCGACGACTTCAGACAGGAAGACGCAGCCTCGATCACTGAGCTGTTCCTGAGGTGGACCGTGTCGCAAAATGAATCGTTGGAGCAGAAAGGAGGCCACATCGCTCGCTGTAGCCGCGGGGAGAGCGGCAGTTTCGGCGTATCGCGTGAGGTAGTCCACAGCAACAATGGGCCAGCGGTTACCAGCCGACGTTGGTGGAAGTGGCCCATACAAATCGATGCCAATGCGCCCAAAGGGCCAGGCAGGGCAAGGTAGAGGTTGCAGACCTACCGGTGACAGGTGCGTTGAAGCTTTTCGGCGCTGGCAATATATGCAGGAGCGAACGAATTTCTGCACGTAGCGGTACATGCCGCGCCAAAAGTACCGTTGGTGAATGCGATCGTAAGTCTTTGATACCCCAGAGTGCGCACATTGCAGATCGGAATGAAAGAACTCGCATATGTCAGAGCGCAAACTGCGAAGGTATGACTAGTAGCCACTGGCGGTCGTCACCTGTTGTAATTGCGCCTGTGGAGGAGGTCGTCACGAACGGGAAAATGGTGGGCTTGACGACGCAACGCGCGAGTGGATGGAGTGGATGGATTAGCCAGCAAGTCTATCAGTGAGGCGATCCATTGATCCTTGCGCTACTCAGTAGCAATGGTATGAATGCTAATGGAAGAAATGGCAAGGTGAGATGCTGTGTTGTGGGCATTGTCATCAGGCAAGGGAGAGCGCGACAGGGCGTCGGCGTCAGCATGTTGCCTTCCATTGCGGTACAGCACGCGGTTGTCATAGTCTTGCAGGCGAAGTGCCCACTGGGCGAGACGGCCTGAGGGATCTTTCAATGACGACAACCAGCATAGTGCGTGATGGTCGGTGACGACATGAAATGGGCGACCATACAAATAAGGTCGGAACTTTGTAAGGGCCCAGACGATTTCCAAACATTCCTTCTCGGTGATGGTGTAATTACTCTCGGCCTTAGTAAGCGTACGGCTTGCATACGCCACGACATATTCCGGGAATCCTGGTTCGCGCTGCGCAAGGACAGCGCCAAGGCCGACACCACTGGCATCCATGTGTACCTCTGTAGGGGCCGTAAGGTCATAGTGGCGGAGTATGGGAGGCGACGTCAACAAATGACGGAGCGTTGTGAAAGCGTCGTCGCACTGTGATGACCACAAATGGAGAGGCCCGTTACTTTCGAGGAGCTTCGTCAGCGGCGATATGATAGTCGCGAAGTTTTGAATGAAGCGCCGAAAGCAGGAACACAGCCCTACGAAACTGCGCAGTTCCTTGATGGATGTCGGCTTGGGGAACTCGGCCACGGTCCGGAGCTTAGCTGGATCGGGGAGAATTCCGTCCTTGGACACGATGTAGCCGAGTATTGTCAGCTGTCTAGCTGCAAATCGGCACTTCTTTAGGTTCACCTGCAGACTGCCGTCACTCAGACGCGTTAAAACATGCCGTAGGCATTGAAGATGTGTCAAGAAGTCCGGAGCGAAAACGACGACGTGATCGAGGTAGCACAGGCACATGTGCCATTTCAGGTCACGCAGAACAGTATCCATCATGCGCTCAATGGTGGCGGGCGCATTGCACAGCCCAAACAGCATGACGTTGAATTCGTACAAGCCGTCGGGGTTGACAAAAGCGGTCTTCGGT